TAGTCTGAAAATATTAACAATTTGGTATTATTTCCAATTCCAGTCATTCATGTTGGGTCTTAGAATGGATCCCCTGCAGATGGGGAAGGGACTGCTGTAATACCAAAGTACACTATACGTGCCTATGACAACTTGCAGAGTAGGTTGCATACTGTAGTTCTTTGTAAAGATTGGTGAGAAGCCAAGAAGTAGATCATAACATGTAACAGTCATATGGGTTTTTACTCCTCCCCCATTCCTTTTTTACCTATAGACAAAGAACAGGGAGACAGAACAAATCAGAGATGCTCTATATAGGTCTCATTTAGTGTGTGAGGCAGCCCTATCTATTTTCCAAATGGGAAACATACTGTTGTGACATGTATCACTGTAATAGAATCAATAACTTGCATCAGATCCTTTCTACTTTACTAACCACTCCAAACTCCCTTGGGGAGATGGGATGAGGTATAAAGTTCTGATGTCAGGAGAGATGCCTGCAATAGCCAGGTGCTTGCACTGAACTCCATACCCAACTAGGAGCAGCAATGGCAGCAACACAACTGTAATTCACCCACTTTACCTTTGCTGATGAGTGCAGGGAAAGAGTGATAGTGACGGTGTCCGATCTGGACAGTAAGTCAGTCCAAATTGGACCAGTCCCGCTATCAAGACTGCTCCAAAGTCTGAGTTACTCCAGAGTTTTCAGCAAATGCCAAATTATTCCTGTCTTTGCCTAAAGTGAGACAGAGTCAGTTTAAAGCATAAAAGAAACAAACAAACCTCAACACTAAATGGAAATGACTGTTCATCATAGGGACAGCCATCCTGCTAGGTCGGGTGAGTACATTTTTTTTGTAAGTGTAGTCAAACTCCAAATTGGAACCTGTGTAAATTCAGATGAGATTTTGTAGACTCTAGTTTCACAATTTAGATTTTAATGATAACTGTCCATAGATAATCTCTTGATTGGTTTTATATAGTTCAGTATAAGAATAGAAGAGTAGAAACAGTACTCTACAAATGAAAGAAACCTTTCCTGACAACTTTTCAGTAGAAAAAAATTCCAACCCATGTACAACATTAATAAGATATTAAACAATAAAAGCTGGATAGATTATTTCAGTTTCAGTATTGTGTAGTTACTAGTCATGGGCCCGAAATTTGTCCCATTCATTTCATTCGTATTTCTATTTCGTTCCACGAAATGGGAAAGCCCTCCTGAAATGAAAATGCAGTTGATATGAAAGGCAGGCAAGAAGAGGAACAGCTGATGGTTGGTCAGATCAAGTCCATTGTGGAGACACCCATGTGGAGGGAAGTAATGACATGGGTATGCAGATGATTTCTTGATAGATGTAAGTGTGCAGTTCAATTGAAACGAAGGTGCAAGATTCAAGAAGACAAAGGTGACAGCTCCAAATAACGAGAGTCTTGCCTGCCCATTTAGGAGACTCATATTTGTTTATCCTTTTCTTCTGTAGGAATGGCAAGCCTCCAGTCTTAGTTAAGTGGATCTTGAGATCTTAAGCTCATCTTGGTGACAAAAGGATCACCTGTCTTACATGTTTACACAAACGATTGGATTTTATCTGGCTTGGGAGATTGTTAGAAGAACCCTTTGTTAATTATGTAGGAATCTCCATTCCCAGGAGCTTATGCATACAGGGGGCATGGGGGCTGTAGCTGCCTTCAGGATAAATTTGATACAAATTTATATATTCATAAATTGGTATAGTATACAAACAATACAAGTTACACAAAAAGTCATTTGATAAATTTATTAAAGATCTAGCTTTAATAGATTTTGGGTTACAATTGCTGCTAGGTCCTACCGGAGCCTCTAGCAGCTTCAATATTGCAAAACTTGGAAACTATGGAAAAGGGTTTAAAAATCATATCTCTTGTTTGAAGTTTTCTTATTATTCATAATAAGGGGAGGGGAGGAAGCTGCTATGGCTTGACAAAAACGTCACATTCTACTATTATACATTTTTTTAACTAAACAAGTTGGGATACACACAATCATGTAGTAGGCATGAATTCCTCTGTAATCTTTGGTTAGGCTTTTGTTTTTGATTAGGAAGACAATTCTGTTTGTTCTGTGAAAACTCTTGTGAAATTTTCCCCTAGTATTGTTATAATCATGTGGACCATTTCAAAGTGTATTCTAGCTGACCATTATTCTTGAGGCTCCTCAACTGAAGGATGACCGTCATTGAGTCGCTTTATTGAGTTCCTATATTGATAGAAAGGCAGGATAAAACATAACGTAAATGAACAAACAAAATAAGTGTTCAAATCAGAGTGAGCCAACACCCTGAGATATGGATGGAGGATGATGAGCAACGATTTTAGTGTGACGACTGACCATTACAGTTATTGATTGTAATTGCTGTTTTAATGTTTTACTGTAATATGTATTATGATGTTTTATTGATTGTATGTGATATTATGGTTGGAAACCGGTCTGAGTCCCTCAAGAGAAGTGAGAAGGTTGGTATACAAAACTTTTAAATAAATAAATAATCATGTAGCTTAACTAGAGGCTGCTTCTCCATGTAGTTTATATAAAGAAACCATAAACGGTTCCTACATCTTGTTGGTTTCTATAGTAGTAGCAACTCTGCAGCATTTTGTCATTTCTAGTTGTACTGTTAGAGTGGTATTGCTTGAATTTATTATTATTATTATTATTATTATTAACTTTATTTGTACCCCGCTAGCATCTCCCGAGGGACTCGATGCGGCTCACACAGGCCGAAGCCTCAAAACACAATACAGTAAAAAACATAACACAACAATAGCAAAGCAAATCAAACAATAAGCAATAACGACACCAACAATACATCAAACATTATTAAAACTGGCTCGGCCGGCGCGATGGGTACAGGAAATTAAAAGTGCTGAGGTGGTGGGGCACATTTATGTTAAGTACATTTATGTGTGTACTTAACATTTCAACATGTTTGCAATCTTCTTTTCCCTTCCCTTCCATATCCATACGGTGGGCAAGTCCTCATTTCTTTCTAGTTTTACTTGCTTCTTTCTTTACTGCTCTCTACTTACGCCCAAAGCATATCACATTTAGGCTACTCCACGTGATTATAGTATTATTATCAACTCTTTGATTCTGTTGTCTCACAAATTCCATAAAACACCTTGACAAATATAAGCTGACATTCTGTTCTACATTTAACATCAACAGCTGTAGTGTGTTAGCATTGACTTTGAAGAAACAAAGCAAAACAAAGTTTATATAGTTTGCTTATACAGGCTGTCCCTGAGTTACAAATATCAGACTTACAAAAGACTCACAGTTAAGAACAAAGGTGAGACAAAAGGAACTGAGAGAAATCTACCACTCGGAAAGGAAATTCAAGAGTTATCATGGGGAAAAGGTGTCTCCATTGAAGCTTTATGACCAATCCTTGTTTCCACAACAAGCCAAATTTTACAAAATCTTGTTATCACAGGGACAGAAAGCAAGGCGAAATTTTCTGAACAGGGGCGCAGACAGCAAAACAAACACTACAGGTTGTTAACCTTTCCCTCTGCTATCCAAAGATAGATAGACAGACTAGACATAGGCTGGAGTTACACTTAAAAAGTGTACCTGTTCCAACTTACACACAAATTCAACTTAAAAACAAGCATACAAAACCTATTTTGTTCCTAACTTGGGGACTGCCTGTTGTTGCTGGTATGATTTGTGGGACTGTGGTGTCTGAATTCAAAGACAAATAATTATGAGGCTTAACATTCTGAAATATCTGTGCCCCTATGCATATTTGCTTGTTTGTACAAGGTGTTAAAGATCAATAACTTTGTTTTCCACTCAATGTGTTCATTTTAAAATCACAGATGTGTTTAAAGTTCCTCAATATTAGCTATACAGGGTTCTCTTTTTCATATTACTGTAGTTGCTGAAGTATTACTCTGCAATTTTGATGTTTTGATTTTTGATATACATTATAATATTATATCTTACTAGTATTTATTAAGATTTCTTTATTCTGTAACTTTTTTAAAAACATGTTTTAATAAAAATAAATATCAGGGTATACTTGTGAAAGACTGGCTGATCCCTTTGATCTGACACTTCACATATGCACGCAGTAATTATTTATTAAGGACTTCTTTATGTAATTTTCCATTAAAGCAATGAAAAGAGAATATTAAAATTAAGACATGAATATTCATGCTTTCCAAGGCAAATTGGATGAGCCAAACTCTGTCTCTTGTACACTTTGCTTGGACTCATGTAAATGAAAAGTACATGGTCTCTGTGGAATGCTATCCTATCATGCTTCTCTACTCTTATTTGCAGGACTTCTACCATTATGTAATGGTGCCAAAGAACATGATGTTTAAAATTTGGTCTTGGAATAGCATTTAACTTTATAAAAAGTTTAGCATTCTCCCATCTCAAAAGAGCCATGTGGCTACGATGGGAGTAAATCATACCTCATTAGAACTTTTTTTTTGCTTGCAGAAAAACTTCTGGTTCAATTTATGTTTTCTCCAGACAAAAAAATGATTGAATAGCTGTTAATAGGAAAGACTGCTTGTGACCTAGAAGAATCCCTCTCTATTGAAGTAAATAGAACTGGGTCCATAAGTCTGATCTGGAAATATTCCTAGGATAGACTTTACTTACTTACTTACTTACTTACTTACTTACTTACTGTATTTATATACCGCCTTTCTCAGCCCGTGGGCGACTCAGGGCGGTTGATAGCGTATGGACTGCCTAATCACTGAATCTGCTTTCTTTACTTGATAATATAGAATAGTTTAAAATTATGGAATGTATCATACAAGGTAATATAAAATGTAGAAATGTGTGTTACTTCCAGCATCTGTATAGATATAGAATTTAACATTCTGTTTCCCTGGGTGCAAAATTATGTTTTCATTTTATTTGTAGTGTAAGATGTACAAATAATCCTTCTTGCTGGATTTTTAAAAAATCATTCTCTTGAGATTTAGAATAACATGTGAAAACAATTTTTTTCCAGATCCACCTCACCTTTTCCCTGCATTCCACCCTCCTGTACCAATTGATGCAAGACATCACGAGGGACGTTATCATTATGAACCATCCCCCATTCCTCCGTTACATGTGTAAGTATGAATATTTGCACCACTCAACAGGCACATTATAGAGGAACCGTGGAGATCAGGCCTAATGAATGTTAGTGTATTCGCATTTAACTTTACAGGTTTGGCAACATTGTGCTGAAATAGTTGGAGATTTCCTTCCAATACATGTTGGCATTCTGGCTTATTTTGAATATATATTCCCAAGTTCAGAAAACATACCCTGGATATTTAAAAAAACATGACATTGGCACAATATGGTACTGCCTCTCTACTTCCTTGCTTTTGCATGCTGGCTTTAATGCAGAGATCCCAGTTTGTTTAAATCACGTTGTTCCATTCCAGCCCAAAACAGGGAACTCTGATTATTAAAACTGCTTCACATTCTGGTTTCTGATCCTAGTTAAAGGTTTAATTGCATGGTACACCTCTGAGTATTCCTTGCACAAGAATACCCTGTGAGATTCACGGGGTTGTTATAAGTTGACAGTGACTTGAAGACACATACATAGAGAGAACAATGTATAATGTTTAAACCAGGCAAAGGAAAGGAGGAGGAATTTGTATTGAAATTGGAGTGAAGTAGGAACTGTCTTTCCACAAAGCTGCCTATTGATTTGCAAAATGAAGCATTTAATAAAGTTTTGTTATATCTTTGGAGAAGTTTCCTTGAAAAAAGAGGGCAAGAAGTAATCTAGGACAGGCTGGTTGGTGGTGATTCTGCATATGTATCTAGTCTCTTGATTGATGGGACTGTCATCCAAATAGAGTAGGACATATGACAGAGCACACAGTTTACACTAAGATAAAGTAAAAAATCGTAGTGATACTATGTGCTAGAAAGAGAAAAATGCCTTATGCAGAATTAAAAATTGCCCTGTTGCAGATGGAGAGAGGTATGCCAACAAGTTGGAAGGGGATAGTGGTGAAAATATCTTGCATCTTGGACTGTAAAATTCAGAAGAACTACTCCATAAGAACCCAAATCCGCAAAGCAAATTCAGTCTTTACTTAAAAAGCTTGATAGATACATTTAATCATCTCTAATAATCCCTCATGAACAGTGAAGAAAAGAAGAAAAGCACAAGTAATTCATTGAAGAATAATGCTAGTTGTTTAGATGGCAGATTGCTTCTCCATGGCTATTAGTTACAGCTATGTAATTACATATATGCCGGAGTAAAAAAAAATGAAGTTGTTTTAAAACAACTCCTCCTCGGTGAGCAGAATTAATTGATATTAGCTATCCTAACTACATACCCAAGTTACACACACAATATTTTACCAGCAGTTATTTTGGATCAGTCGCTTATTAGCCAAATTGTAATTTCAGAAGAAATTGGCCTGAAGGCTAGCAATAAATCTGTGTTTCAGGCTTCCATCACCATTAAAAAATCTCTCTGTTTATTTATAGCAGCGATGGAGGAGGGGAGGGGATAAAAAGAAGAGGAGACTTCCAAGAACTTGTGATTTATTTTTTCCATTGAGATGATTGCATCAGTTATTTGAATTGTATTTAGTTGTACAGGAAAATTTATTTGAATGGTCTGAATTAAACTGGCTTAAAAGGGCGATCATTTTAAAGACACCCAGTACAGTCATTTCTGAGGATTATCTGTAAATTCATCATGAGAATTAATGGTTTTTCACAACTAGTTAATGGTATTCACAATTGTGAATTGCTGTGTATTTTTTCACTGCCTTTTTGGAAACAGCCCAGATATGTGGCAAAACATACACACACACACACACACACACACACACACACACACACGTATGTGTGTGTGTGTGTGTGCGCGCGCGCATGATTATAGTGACTGTTATTAAATAGACACAGTTAGTAATCAGTCATAAGGAAAAAAGAAAGCATTTTTTATTAGAGGTTTGTTTTTTGGGAGAGCCACATAGAGGTGAGTTGCTGTTTCGACCAGAGTGCTTCATTTTCACTGAGAGCCTTCAAGGGCTGTTTGTAATTGTAAGACTGTAGAAATGTTGCCCTGGCATTGATAGCCTAATACATGGTTATGAACGAATGAATGATAATTGTAATAATCATAAAACTAATCATAAAACGAATCATCATCATCCTCATCATAGAAAGATGCAACTATGATGATCTGGCACTGAAGACCTAATACATAGTTTTATATAAATAAATGGATAATAGTAATAGTAATATGTGGCGTCGAAGGCCCTTCAAATCAGCCCAAACACGACTGGATACCTTTCTAAGGTCCTATGACGTGGCAATAAAAGCGGCACAGAAATCATTTCTTGCTGCTAATATTGCATCTGCAAAGAACCATCTGGCTGAACTATTCTGAGTTGTCAGAGGACTGTTAAAAACGCCGAAGAGCGAGATCCCTGATGACTCGGTAGCTCACTGTGAAGCATTTGCTCGCTTCTTTGCGGATAAAGTTGCACTGATTCGGTTTGATTTCGACGCCAAGTTAACAGAAGTCTCTGAGGATGTAACACGAGCACCTGCTTGTCCGGTTTTATTGGATTCATTTCAATTGGTTCAGCCTGAGGACATGGACAGGATCCTTGGAGAAGTGAGACCTACCACATGAATCCTAGACCCCTGTCCATCCTGGCTGATACAAGAAGTCAGAGGGGGTTTGGCAGAGTGGGTAGAGGTGGTGGTTAATGCCTCCTAACAGGAGGTAAAATTTCCAGCGAGCTTAAACAAGCTATTATAAAACCACTGTTGAAAAAACCATCACTGGACCACACTCAATTAGACAACTATCAGCCAGTTTCCAATCTCCCCTATTTGAGCAAAGTCGTGGAACATGTGGTCGCCTCGCAACTCCAGGGGTTTCTGGTAGGCACTGATTATCTAGATCCAGCACAGTCTGGTTTTAGGCCGGGACATGGGACTGAGACAGCCTTGGTCGCCTCAGTAGATGATCTTCACCGGGAACTGGACAGGGGGAGTGTGTCCCTGTTGGTTCTGCTGGACCTCTCAGTGGCCTTCGATACCATTGACCATGGTATCCTTCTGGGATGCCTCGTAGACATGGGACTTGGGGGTACTGCTTTGCAGTGGCTCCGGTCCTTTCTCGAGGGATGGTCCCAGAAGGTGTTACTGGATGACACCTGTTTGACCCCACAACCATTGTTGTGTAGAGTCCCACAGGGTTCAATTCTGTCCCCGATGTTGTTTAACATCTACATGAAGCCGCTGGGGGAGATCATACGGAATTTCGGAATGAGATGTTATCTCTATGCAGATGATGTCCAAATCTGTCACTCCTTCTCACCTGTCACCAAGGAGGCTGTCCAGACTCTGAACCAGTGCTTGGCTGCTGTGTCGGACTGAATGAAAAAGGGTTCAGACTTCTTAATAAATGGAGTTTTATTGAGAGGAGGCAATAACAGACAACCAAATGCCTCTCCCTGAAACACTGGTGTCATTCAGGTAAAGTTTGGAAAGCTGCTTTTTAGAAAAATAGTATACATAGAAAAGTAGTAATAGAATGATATAGGGATGCAATTTTGCACCAATTTTCTTCTTAAAGGAAGCAACAAACAATCTTAGCAATTTCCATTTCATTGCAAGTGTCTTCAAAAACTGTGTCATTTTCTATGACTGTTTGTCAGCTGGGATTTACTCTGTTGAGAATGTACGTATGCTTGTTTTAAACATAAAATAGCATTTTCTGCACAGGAAACAGCATTTCTGATATATTGAATCTAGTGCCAAACAAGTCCTTATACTTTGCTGTAGAGCTGAATTGCAAAATTTCTCATTAGCCAGGGGGTGATTTTTTGAATCCCATATCACATGTTCATGGGAGCATCTCTTGTTCTTGCATCAGCTTCATAGCATTACAGTGCTTACAAAATACAAGTGTACCTTTTTGCACCAGAACTCCTTCCTTTCATCATTCATAGGTTCCAACAAATACATAACATTCATTCTTTATCTGTGCTGCAGCAGAAGTCCATTAGCAGTCTTCTATTTGATCTATATATCTGATCTGAATTTTTATGTGTATGTGTACTATTCCAAATCCAGTTCTACTTCATCTCTAGTAATAATTTCAGGGAAAGGGTTCAGTGTAAAATTCTAGAGATTTCACCCAGACCATATAATAGGAGGTTTCTTTCTCCCTCCCTCCCTCCCTCTCTCTCTCTCTCTAAATATGTATATCTCAATGGTTGAAGACCTAGTGTATATGAATCAATGTGAAGGACTTTCTGTCATCTGACTTGCAGCACAATTCTCTACTAATATTTTAGTTAAAAAGTTCCATAATGGTAGAAATGACACAGCCTCACCACCAGTTCAAAAGTTGTGATGCAAAAGGAAAGTTATTAAAAAGGAAGAGGAAATTGTCAGCTTGGGATTCTTGATTCTTGTTTAGAAAGTTTTGGAAAATAGTAAGTTTAGTTCACTGCGCAATTTGTGCAGCTGATCACCAAGCTGGATCCTTTTAGTTGACACAGCAGTGGCAGGTAGTGGCTGGAAGGAGGGGACTATCAGCTAGAGTTCCATCCTAGCATAATGGAGGGTATCTGACTTCTGCTGGTTCTTTGTCTTTAGAGGTATCAATAGTTTCCTGTTGGTAGCTGGAAGATTTTCTAAAATACATATTTACAAACATTGTCCTGAAAATCTTCAAAGGTTAGCAGTGGGGAACATGTGGCCTTTAATTAATTGTAGAAGATGCTGGGAATGACTGTCCAACAATGTATGGAAAGCTGCACATTCCCTATTTCTCTCCTAGAACTTCCAACAGACTTTTGTTGATGACAATTGTAGATTCATCTTCATTCTATAATAGTCTCTGACTACATATGGCTAACTGCTGCATCAGTAATTTACTTTTATGCATGGGTTGTTTGTCTTGGACACAACCACAGAGTTATCAAATAATCATATTTTATATTTTATCTGTAGAATTTTGCCAATGAGGCACTTTTTATTTTTAATTTCTAACCTATCTAGTATTGAGTTATAAAGTGGCATGTGTGTACATGTTGGTGTATATGTATGTAACAATAGTCCGCAGGAC